GGGGGGGGGGGGCCTGAGCCTGCCCCCCTGAGCCCCCCCCCCCCCAGCTCAGGGCTGCCCCCCATAGGAGTTTGCCCCCTCGGATGAGGAGCTGGAGGCCTATCGGCGTGGGGAGGAGTGGGACCCAGTGAGAGCCAATGAACGGCGCCGGCTGCGGGTAGGGCGGGGCTTAAAGGGGGGGAGGGCGGGGCTTAAAGGGGGCGGGGCCTGGAGAAGTGAGAGGTTGCAAAAGGGGCGTGGCCTGGAGGTGGGGGGTGGGGTCTATGGGTGCCACTGGGAGCGGGCGGGGCTTATGGGAGATGGGGCGTGGCCTCAGCCGGGGGGGCGTGGTTACAGGGTAAGAGGCGTGGCTTGTTTGCAAAGGGGCGTGGTTATAGGCAAGAGGCGGGGCTTAGCGTTAGTGGGCGTGGCCTGCTGAAAGATGGCTTAATGGTGCGGGTGAGTGACAGGAGGCGGGGCCTGTTTGAACGGGGGTGTGGCTTAGCTGCTCACGTGATTTGAGGCTGCACATCAGGGGGCGTGGCTTGGCAAATGAGGGGGCGTGGCCAGATGCTGGGAGTGAATGGGGGCGTGGTCTCATATGAGGGAGGCGTGGCTATGTTCAATTGGGGGCGTGGCTTAATAGATCAGTTCCGGGGGGGGGGGGTTGGTTTGAAAGATCACGTGAGCACTGAGGGCGTGGCCTGAACAGCACGTGACGGGAGGTGGGCGTGGCTTAGCACTGGGGGCGTGGCTTCATACGCATGTGATCGCTTTTGTGGGCGTGGCTTAGGGCAGGGGGCGTGGTTTGACGAACACGTGACCAATTGCGGCGTGGCCTGACGTAGCACGTGATTGGTGGTGGGCATGGCTTAATGGGGGCGTGGCCAACCCCCGCGTGGCCCCGCCCCTCCAGGAGCTGGCAGCCCAGCAGGAGGAGGCGGAGCTTGAGCGTGGCCCCGCCCCCCCCGGCCCCCCCACCGACTACAAGGACAAATACCGGCATCTGATTGGCTGCGAGGCCGCCAAGGCCGCCGCCCGAACCATGGAGGCCAATAAGGCGTACGGCTGTGGTGAGTTTTG